AGGGGTCAGGTATGGTGCTGAATATACCCTAAACGTTTCTGGGGGTCAGGTAAGGTGCTGAATATACCCCTAAACGTTTCAGGGGTCAGGTGTGGTGCTGAATATACCCTAAACGTTCCAGGGGTCAGGTATGGAATTTGCATATACCCTCTCACGTTTCCGGAGGTTTCAGGTATGGTGCTGAATACACCCTAAACGATTCAGGAGGTGAGGTATGGGCTTGAATATAAAATAACCGTTTCAGGGGAGTTAGGTATGGGGTTGAATATACCATTAACGTGCGTCGTGTATGTTGCTGAAGATACGATTGACGTGTCAGGGAGTCGTGTATGGTGTTGAATATAACCATTAACGTGCCGGGGGGGTCAGGTATGGTGCTGAATATACCCTTAACGTTTCAGGGGTCAGGTATGGTGCTGAATATACCCTAAATATTCCAGAAGGTCAGGTATGGGATTTGCATATAGCCTTACGTTTCCCGAGGGTCAGGTATGGTGCTGAATATACCCTAAACGATTCAGGAGGTGAGGTATGGGTTTGAATATAAAATAACCGTTTCAGGGGTTAGGTATGGTGTTGAATATACCATTAACGTGCCAGGGGTCAGGTATGGGGTTGAATATACCACTAACGTGCCGGGGTCAGGTATGGGGTTGAATATACCAATAACGTGCCAGGGAGTGAGGTATGGTGCTGAATATACCACTAACGTGCCAGGGGTCAGGTATGGGGTTGAATATACCATTAACGTGCCAGGGGGTCAGGTATGGGGCTGAATGTAACCCTAAACGTTTCGGGGCATCAGGTATGGTGCTGAATATACCCCTAAACGTTTCGGGGGGATCAGGTATGGTGCTGAATGTACCCTGAACGTGCAAGGGGCCAGCAGGTATGCCTAGGTGTGGGATTGAGTATACCACTAACGTGCCAGTGGGTCAGGTATGGTGCTGAATATACCCTAAACGTTTCAGGGTCAGGTATGGTGCTGAATATACCCTAAACGTTTCGGGGGGTCAGGTATGGTGCTGAATATACCCTAAACGTTTCAGGGGGTCAGGTATGGTGCTGAATATACCCTAAACGTTCCAGAAGGTCAGGTATGGGATTTGCATATAGCCTTACGTTTCCGGAGGGTCAGGTATGGTGCTGAATATACCCTAAACGATTCAGGAGGTGAGGTATGGGTTTGAATATAAAATAACCGTTTCAGGGGTTAGGTATGGTGTTGAATATACCATTAACGTGCGTTGTGTATATTGGTGAAGATACGATTAACGTGTCACCGGTGTCAGGGACTCGTGTATGGTGTTGAATATAACCATTAACGTGCCTTGGGGTTAGGTGTGGGGTTGAATATACCATTAACGTGCCAGGGTCAGGTATTGGTGCTGAATATACCCTAAACGTTCCAGGGGTCAGGTATGGAATTTGCATATACCCTCACGTTTCCGGAGGGTTCAGGTATGGTGCTGAATACACCCTAAACGATTCAGGAGGTGAGGTATGGGCTTGAATATAAAATAACCGTTTCAGGGGTTAGGTATGGGGTTGAATATACCATTAACGTGCCAGGGGGTCAGGTATGGGGTTGAATATACCAATAACGTGCCAGGGAGTGAGGTATGGTGCTGAATATACCACTAACGTGCCAGGGGTCAGGTATGGGGTTGAATATACCATTAACGTGCCAGGGGGTCAGGTATGGGGTTGAATATACCATTAACGTGCCAGGGGGTCAGGTATGGGGTTGAATATACCACTAACGTGCTAGGAGTGTGTCGTCACACGCTGATGAAAGGTTTTATTGCGGTAATGTTACTGCCTCCACGTCCAATGGGTACATATCGTTTAAACTTGAAATTATATATGTGTCAAGAGGTATACGGTAAATCACTGTTCAGAAAATCAGGTCATGTCCATTGACAGAAGCGGATGTAATATCTCCAGGGCGGTGAAAATCGGGATTGGGGATTTTATGTCCGCATCTTTTCAGGAAACCGCAATGTTTGCTCGGAAAAGATTTTATATCACACGCCCATGCTGTCTGTCGTATTTATCATTAACTTCATGTTTTGGGCAATTGTACCACCAGACAGATGTAATAGCAGTGTATGTAAGAACCTGCTGTGTCTGCAGGTTAGGTCATTACGTTTTATATTTGTGTATTTAACTGGTTGTGTCCAGTGGTTATGTTATATAGCTAGGTATTTCCGTGTTCTACAGCTACCAAAATCATTAACCCTTTCATAAGCACTAATAGGAGCGTCGATACAATTTTTCACACGAAATCCTTTTTAGAGACTATACACAAACATGTGTTTATGAACATGTGATGCTACCAGGGGGTTCAAACAAGATGAACGTATCCTGTCCTGAACGTATCCAGCCCTCACAAACACATGCAATAATCATTTGTTCACCCATACCCGTAAAGGGATGCAAGCCAACAATGGTTATGTTACGCTTCAAATTTGGAACCTTACTCAAGAGTTCTACCAACAAACATTTTAGCCTTACTTATGTCTTAAATCAAGAAGCAATCGTGGTTTGCTGTTTGAAATCTTCGTAGAAGACACTAATTTTATTAATAGTTAAGTACGAAAAGGTTGAAGACATCCCTTATGTCATCTAGTTTTGTCACTATATTGTCACTATGAACCTGCCTCTGTCTGTCTCAATCTGCTTCGCACAGAACTACCTACGAAACAAATGAGTCGTTTTAACAGGTGTCTTTTATTTCTAGTTCCGATAGATGAACCAGTGAAAGTGTTAAATATGTTTTACAACTGCTATAAAGATATCAGCTCCTCCTGAACCGTAAGTTATTCTTCATGGCCAGATTCTCATTCTGATTCATATGCCAGCTCCTTGCCTAAATGTCTTATCCCCAAATTTCACACAGATGCCAGCTCCTTGCCTAAATGTTTTATCCCCAAATTTCATACAGTTGCCAGCTACTTGCAAGAAATGTCTTATCCCCAAATTTTACACAGATGCCAGCTCTTTCCCTAAATGTCTTACCCCAAATTTCACACAGATGCCAGCTACTTCCCTAAATGTCTTATCCCCAAAATTCACACAGATGCCAGCTCCTTGCCCAAATTTCATACAGTTGCCAGCTACTTGCAAGAAATGTCTTATCCCCAAATTTTACACAGATGCCAGCTCCTTGCCTAAATGTCTTATCCCCAAATTTCACACAGATGCCAGCTACTTGCCTAAATGTCTCATTCCCAAATTTCACACAGATGCCAGCTCCTTGCCAAAATGTCTCATTCCCAAATTTCACACAGATGCCAGCTACTTGCCTAAATGTCTGGTCCCCAAATTTCACACAGATGCCAGCTCCTTGCCTAAATGTCTCATTCCCAAATTTCACACAGATGCCAGCTCCTTGCCTAAATGTCTCATTCCCAAATTTCGCACTTATGCCACCTACTTGCCTAAATGTCTCATTCCCAAATTTCGCACTTATGCCACCTACTTGCCTAAATGTCTCATTCCCAAATTTGCACACAGATGCCAGCTACTTGCCTAAATGTCTCATTCCCAAATTTCACACAGATGCCAGCTCCTTGCCAAAATGTCTCATTCCCAAATTTCGCACAGATGCCAGCTACTTGCCTAAATGTCTGGTCCCCAAATTTCACACAGATGCCAGCTCCTTGCCTAAATGTCTCATTCCCAAATTTCGCACTTATGCCACCTACTTGCCTAAATGTCTCATTCCCAAATTTCGCACAGATGCCAGCTCCTTGCCTAAATGTCTGGTCCCCAAATTTCACACAGATGCCAGCTCCTTGCCAAAATGTCTCATTCCCAAATTTAGCACAGATGCCAGCTCCTTGCCCAAATGTCTGGTCCCCAAATTTCACACAGATGACAGCTACTTTCATGGGTGTCTTATCTCTAAATTTCACACAGATTTTATCTGTGAGGAACTCTTGGAACTAGGTAAACTTCAGAAAGGTTTGAGTAATAGTTGTGTACAAAATCTTTACCGAGATTGCAATAATCAAAGGATATCTATTGAATTTGAGAATCTACACGTTATTAATTTCACTTGTCTTAATTATTTTGGTGCATGTGGAGAGGGTACTCTTTGGATTGTATGAAGGATTATGGTTGATTTTTGAGATTAGGATCTGGTGGTACATTTGCTGACCCTTCAATGTGTCTTTCGTTGTTCGCAACTTTACACTTTAATATATAGTACAAATGAAGAATGGACTTGTCTTGAGATCTTAAAGTAAAGTCAAAAGTTTATAGGAGTGTTTCATGCTTTGAACAGATTTCTTTCTCAGTTTATTTAAACGTTTTGGCATATCGCTTAGTCCAAGTTTATGATCAAACAAATAAGTGACCCTTACATGTACATATAATGGTATTATTATTTGAGGCCTTGTCATTGGGAACTGCAAACCCTTCATGTAGACAGACTTTGGATGACAGATGGCTGCCAGAAAATGGATTCTATTCCAATTCTGTTTTTCGGTTTGTGATTTCTAAAAAAGTCGGATTTTATAAATCACGGACAGAAACCAAATCAGTAGCCATTTGACAAGTTCATTTTCTCTTTTTGCATATTTCGTGATCTTACATGTGTGCATTATGCCATGGAATCCTTAATCTTATGCTGTTTTAGTGCAGCCTAGTAGTACACGTTTTCACTGTAAGTATTGGAGACCCGGATTTGAAGCGACATAATCGACCTCAGCCAGCATTTGTTCATTTGCTCCATTACAACGAACCTGGTGTTCAGAGCACTTTCTGCACAGATTCTCATGTGCAGATTTTCACATTGACTTTCTATAAGCTCGGCCGTTATACAGTTGAGCGAGTCTAACGCTGAACTGTATTTCTGTAGTGTTGCTTTAGTTATTGTGTTACTTGACATGTAACAGAATGTTACAATTAGTTGAGGTAGCAAAGTGATGGCTGTGTTGCATTCTTTCACACACTTCGTCGTATTTCTCCCTTAAAAATAACAATACCATCAATTATACTCAATCGATTTTTTATTTTCCACAATGTCGAAACATGTAGTTTTCGATGAGCTAAAATTAGAAGGTGCAAATTCTGGTAACATTTTCAAATATGTTCTGCTCAAATCTTTATATACTCAACTCATTAAACAGAATATGTACAGGAAACGGAAGTGCGGCCATTGTCATTTCCCAGCAAGACTTCCAATCAATCGCGGCGACAATTCAACGTGAGTATGCACACTGACCCCTTTAAAGAATGCATCCCCAGCATGAATTATGCCCAGGTCTGTTGGAAAGAATTCACCATTCTTTTTTATCCAACAAATTACATGGAATGATATGAATTTTACTCCGTATAACCAAGTCATGGAGAAAACATAATGCGCATGCTCTGTTAAGCATGAAAAGCATGCAACACGGGGTGACGCCCCTCATTTAAATTTTGAACACATGTACGTCCCTGAATCGCTGAGAAATGACTGGCCAAGCCCAAAACGAGGCAATCTAAACTCGTTGTATAAACGCCAGCATAATCTCTCGAGAGATTTGGCGCATGCGCAGAATATCAAGGCCTATATGTCTTTCAATACTATTATTACTGACATGGTAAAGGAATAGTGCTGAGGCAACGAGCCAGTGGAAACACTGACACACCAAAGTGAACAGGGAAATAGGACTAAAATTACGGAAACTGAGTTCGGCTCTCCTCGGAAATTTTCGGTTCTCTTCGCAACATTTCGTGACATCGGTAAGCAATGTCAGTAGTTCAATCCACTTTTACAGGTACATTAAACATTTTAATGGATTTACTTTCAATAATTCACATTTTGTCTGATGCGACTATTATGTAACTAAGCTTGAGCCTCTTTTCCATAATACTTTCTCAGTTTCCATATTTCCGGAGAAATATTAATCATATCTATGTTTCCATACTTTAACATGGTATAACATGTATATATCATTCTCCATAGATAACCTGTATGATATAACTCTATAATGCACGCTAGGCATACCTCACATGCCAATCACGTCTGCGAGATTCTGTGCACGATCACTCAATGAATAATGATTAGGAATTGAAAACCAAAGTCACGTGTCTTCCTTACTCTAAGACAAAATGGCGGTGCTTTCGAGGCATTAGATATACAGAAATGCCTTAAATCTAACTGCCCGAACAATCGGATCAAATCTACTTATCCCACTGTAACAAAACATTGTTACACCGGTTAATCGTTCAGTTGGTTACCACCTAATAATGGTTAACACAGACTAACGTCTTTAAACGGTGTAGACAGAACCAATGCCCTACGAGTTCCAGAACAGTATTTGAACAATGAGTATCACAATGTATTCAATAATTAATAAGTGAACAACATTTTGGTATGTAACATTTAAGGAGTGTTTCTTTCTACACCGTTTTGTACAACTTCAACAAATGATATATCCTTTAACCCTTACCGCACTACCCTGAATGAGTTAGTTAGCAGTGAGTATGCTGACACATACCTGGTTAATGATTGAACATTTTCACGTGAACTCGTGGGTATGTCCATGCGGTCCCATATCTATCGTTGGTGATGGTACACTCAGCCATATTGTCACAATGTGACAATGTCACTCTAATATCCAGAATGATGATAGACATCGTGTCTCGGTCACATGTTCAGATCACGTGGATGACAACGTGACCATATCACGTGACATTATCACGTATATCGTCAATAATGTACTAGAACCTTCCAACGAAGGTATCAGTTTATCTAAAGCAGGTGCCAAATAGACGAGCAGACCCGCCCATTCTGAGCAACAACGCCTCTTGCGAGTCCTGGAAATACGCTCACTGGATGTCAATGAACATTCATCGACAGCTTCAAATATGTATCCATGTCACTTCTTAGCAACGTCACTTCTAGGAGCGTCAATGGCTATCCAAGTTTTCAATGAAATCACAACCGCGGTGTCAAACATATGTCGGATTTCTTCGTGCGTTTGATTGACAGCGCCAATCACAAATGCTACTTTTCACAAACTTCCCAATATCGATGTAATCGATCAGATGTTTAATACTACTTCCTCAGGCGCTGTTAATGTATCGATGTAATGGCTCATAATTATGTTTGATACGGTGAATACGTCATGAGTTGCCATGGTGATATGGGGATTCCCCGTGACGTCTTTGTCCAGGATCGGACCTCGGACATGTGCTGACAAACACGTGCATATATATAAAAATGGAGAAAGGCGTAAGAGGTACTGATTTTGGCAAATAAAGTGAAAATTTTCTACTCCTTTAAATTTTGAAATTGAAACACAGAAATTACACGAAATCCAACAAAGAGCGTGAATATTTGGCGCTGAGCCACAACGGTAAACCACCGAATAATAAAATGGAATTTGTTTATGTCTGCTTCGCTATTACTTCTTTGCGCTACAACTTAATAATACCAGGCCATACAGGGAAGGAACGCCACATAGGTGTAAAAATATATCTTGAATGACACTCAGTTCTCTACACACAGGACCATGGGCTGAGCATGCGCGGTGTGAGCTGGTTCTACACGTGACCGGAAGCTGCGACAGATGGCCAAGCGACAGGGACAGATAGCGACAACACGGACCAATAGATAAAAATGGCATTCACCTGCATCTACATTGTTTGGTCACGTACAACCGGAGTCACATCTTTTCCTTGAGAACTGTGACTTCACTCAAACTGTACCTTGAACACTATTGATGACGCCATGTGAGAACGGCGCCCGACTCTCGCAATCAAAATTGTCATGCATGGTTCACATTTCAAAAAATTACATCTCCCAAGAATTTCAAAAATATCAAAGCTTGATCATAGCACTCTTTGATACTAACTTTGTGGTCGTTTCCAGAAAAGAAAAATACACACATTGACTTAGCAACAAGCAACACAGCATGACACAAGACGTCGACTTGGAACAGCAGTACTTGCTGCTGACGCCATTCACACAAAGCGGAAGTTTGAAGGAACCCTCCTGGATGTGTAGCCATAGCGACACACCAAACATCGCCATCCTTCCCTGGTTGAGCACCATCACAACCAGCCACAACACGTCACAAGTGCCCCTGGTGCCTCCATGTAGTACGATTAAAGCAGATGTGGTAAGTTGAATCTTGAAAATAGCAATGCATTTGTATGACATCCAAAGAGTGACATCATCATTGACTGAGCTCAGCATACGCTGTGTGCGTTGTGATAGTAGCAAATGTTTGCACGACGCCGCCACCTTTGTAATATCGTGAAAAATGTAACTGCGGGTGCAAAATCCAAAACATTTAAAAAAATCAAGGGACTTGACGTTGCTATGGTAACTTGAGTCCCACATAAACATCGGCAACATAAGTCATTTATCACCCACATGGAGGTTAGGCAATAAGATTTCGGCCAATCTAAATATATATCTTGCGTTGATGCAGTTTTCCTTCCAGACAGAATGTTGAAATAATGAAGTGTGAGTAGTTGTAGATGGTAGCTATGTATTTACTGCAACGAGATTGTTTGTAGTTGGGGCTGATGGGGAGGTTGTTGTCGGGGAGGACGACCCCAGTGCTCGTTGTTCTTGGTTGGACGTCGGTGTTGTGCTTCCGTTCCCAGACGGAAGTGACGTCACTACCGGTTCTATCACAGCGCCATCTGACGTTGGAATGGGTAATCCTACAGAAAAGATCACCAGTTACATGAATAAAAGATTTCGTTTTAAAAAAGAAATGATTTCGCATTAATCCCCTTTCATCATCCACGCTCACAAAAACTTACACACAAACGTATATTATATGTATATTAATATATATCACATCTAACACATCTAGCATAAAGATTCAAATCTCGACATCCAAAACGCCTTTCCAATTTAAAGAGAATATTAAAAAGCAAAAAATGTGGAATAACACAGTAATACAAATGATATAGTGTATTCCAGTGAGTCACCAAAGACAAACAAGCACACTTTTGTATTGACGGTTCTGTAGCCCATGTCATACAAAAGAGCATGTTACGTCGATATGGAGACATAACACAGTGATAACATACCTAAGGCACACGCCGAAAACTATCCTATAATGGAATAAACAAAGAATAGAATAGACCAATGCGGAAAAAACTGAAAAAAATATATGTTCTTTTGAATGTCCGCTTTTTAGGTTGGTTTAGGGTAAAAACAGAAAGCGACAGCAAGCATATCTAAGCAAAGGAAAAAGCCACGAGGCACTGTAGCTCACCTAAATGTTGCTGAATTATATGAAATAAAGATGGTCATGCAAAAGTCCCAAATCAAATTACCGAAAACTGTTACCGTCTTAAACGCACTATAATCACTGTTTGTCAAAAAACCCATTCAGACATCAGTATATGTTGTGGGGCGTTATCACCTTTATGACATATGTCAACGTTAAAATAAACGGCTACATGAAAATAGAAAGTCTGGGTACAGTGCCAAGAAAACCATTATACCTAGAATTACACATTGATAATAGTTTGACCTAATGATATTTCAACACGCTGTGAGCTGGACTGGAGTTCTTTGGGCACATTACTGTACCCAGCTGCACAAAGCAAATGGTTACAGAGCAGCTATGAAGAGGCAACATTTCTAGATCTGTTTTAGCAAAGTGTTCATGAAAACCACATCCGAAACACACAACAAATGGTAAGTACATGACTTCATACAATTGTAAAATATTGAAGCAAACAGTAAACCTTGGTAACATCTGTAACAATGATATTTTCAATATGGCAGTCATGACCTTTCTTAAATTACATTAAAGGTATCAAATCCACAGCTTCATAACCAAATGGTAACGAGGAAATGTTGAAAATACGGAAAATTTAATGCCATAAAAGAATGCCAAAATGTGGAAAGTCAAATATGGATGAAAACGAAAGTAGACTAGGCATAATAGCACATCTCAGCAGTTCATTACATTCCCATGCTGTATATTATTACATATTCTGAAATAACTCTATACTGACAAATACAACACTACTGGTACAATGTTTTCCGTCTTCATCGAGATCCGATCGGAATTAGGTGAATTCCATTTGAAACCAACCGTTTCAAGGACAGCTCGTGTTTAACCAAGACTGACATTGAGGCTTCTGAGGAGAGTCCGAAACCATAAATGCTCTGGAAGAGCGGACGGATGGACAACTGGAAAAACGGACGGATGGACAACTGACAGAGCCGTGACATACGCTCACTTGAACCATTGGTTCAAATGAACAAGAAATGGTCTCAGAAATTCACTGAAATTGATTGTAATCACCCCATGTACCCAATTCTTAGTGGTAGTGACAGTGATACACCAAGGCCACCACCGAAGTTCCTTCACCATGTTATCAATAAATGTGTTTACCTCATTACAAAATTAACAAGGGAACTGAAACGTAAAAAGTGCTTCAGTTAGATAGCGTGACCAACATCATATATAATAAGGATGTAAATAAGGTCATATAAAGTTTGTAAACATTTCACATAAATATGCCGGTATCCAATAGCATTTACTTACATACTTCAACGCACATACATAGCAGTACATGTATGTATATTGTACTTGAGATAATACATCCAATGATATACATGTACATGTAAATACAGAATTTGTTTTTTTCCCTTTATTTACCAAGATATAAGACAGTTACAATGTATGGTACTGTTTGAAAAGTATTCAAGCAAGAAGAAATTGAATTATCCGACACTCTGTATAATCCGACATTTTTCCCGATCCCAGTGAGTGTCGGATTATACAGAATCCACTGTACATTCTACTAAGTGAATAAAAAATGTTGTTTTGGTTTTTTTATATTTTACGGGGCATTGGCATGGGCATTGTTTCAGCCATGTCGCGACTGGTCTCAAAGTGACTAAGTTATATTACATTAACCAACACGTAATCGTTACCATACCCTGAAATATAAGATTTCTATTGGTAAAATAGGTATCACTGAATAGCCAGCATGATTCAGTCCGAACGTTCAGATTATGTTCATGCTGTCTACCTACATCTGAACACACTGACAAGCACATACTCAGCGAATGGGTATATGGTTTTAGACTGCTCTAAACACTATTCCACCTATATCAAGGTGGATGACACCTTGCAACCATCTGGGAAACCGAACCATGGTCTTCGGTATGACCAGCGAACGCTTTAACCTAACATATCACCCTAACAAATCCGTTCACCAACAGAAACTAAATACTGCATCACAACCTCGCAGAGAAAGTAAAATTGAAATATGTCTGACTAATTGATATGAAGAAATATGTCTGACTTTGTTACAACGACACAGTGAAGTGGGAACAAACGTAACACTAACCTGTGGAACCTTCCCATCCAAAAGTGTAAAGGAGCATACTAAAAGGTACCTTTTTCTAAAATTTTGTCTTGCTCCCCACACTGCAGTTGCGCTGCTGGTGCAGGTGCTGAAGGTGGTGCTGGCCCTGCTGTGGAGTTCATGGCTAGCTGAGCATTGGGTGTGACAAGGAGACTGGAGAGAGCAGTTGGTCCCCCTTGCGCGTCTGAAAACAGTTAGTTGGAGAAGGTTACAACGTTTCAAAGAATATGACAAATAATGACGGTTAATGTGCCACCGTCGTGTATATCATGCATGTATATCTACAGGGCTTCCTACAGTACATTATATGTATGTAAATGTGCTCAGTGAAACAATTCTTTATGCAAGCGCACAATGTCTCGGAGTACACTGGTATGAGTACAATTACATAGTCACAATCGCTGACAGTAGGTCTGTGGTAATCAAGTTTAGTTGTATTGACTCTGCTACTGTGTCAAAACAAACACGTTTATAATAATACATGTATTCTGTGATTGTGAAAATATACTAAGATAATAAAAATCTACACGTGGGAATATTCAAACAATCTCTGGACGTAGGGGTTCACCTTTTTACACAAAATGCTATTCGCACTTCAGATCAAGTATGAACATTCAGGCTAAAGGAACTATGCGCCTGAAAACTGGATCAAAACATTATAATGCTACTAGTATGAAAACAACACGGTGAGATATTCATTGATATCATGAATATAACATAATATCCGTATATATCCCCATCGAAGAAACATTTCTTGTTTGTTTTATTTCAGCAAACAAACAAAGGTGCATTCTTTCTTTTGCAAGACAAGTTAGCAAAATTAGTATTCTTTATTGGCGAACCCCGAGATCGAGAGTATATCTATAAACTTAAAGGGCAGAATTCATATGGTGTTCATGATTAATTACAAAATGAATCATCAAGGGTGATATAATTTATTCAAAAGGTGCTACTTGTGAATAGATTCTTTAGAAGCGTTTTCATCTTCATATAAACGTTGATAAATAGCTTGTGTTAACATACTGATTTGGTTGGTGTCATAAGCTGTAATGTTGACAGTGATGTCAAAATCTAACGTGTCGAAAAACTTGAAGTTTAGGTATAATCCAATCATACAGTATGTGTTTGGATGAAATCTTGGTTGGTGAAGGATAGTCATATTTCATGACACTAAGCTGTAAAATACGAAGATCACGTTCAACCGAGACAGATAACTCGAGATGGAATAGTGAAAATGAATCATACAAAAACTCCAACATTTCCTATTGTTTTAAGATGCGGAAAATTTTAATGGTTATGAAAATGATGGTTTTACATGCGAGGAAATGAATGAAAGTTTACTTAACAAGTAAACAGGTGTTCAGTTTGAAAACACGAATGTTTTGAATGTACAAATAAACGACATACATAATGTAGCAGTTATCCGGGAGCTTAATTTATCATCAGCTTGTTAGGTTTCCGTATTGGATATTTAACATTTGTGTATTGTATAAGTAATTGAGATAAGCCCGGTCGCAAAATGTTCTTCAAATAGATTTTATCATCCTGTACCCAACTTCAAATTCTATTTGATGATACATGCTCATAAACATCCCATCTGCACCATAGTCTTTATTTGTTGAGCAACTTATCATGTGAAATCTGTAGAAATCTTCAAACGAAAAACAAAAGAACACAAAGCAACTGCAAAACCACGGCAAATCAGCAAGAAAAACAAGGGAGAAAATAAACAACCATGCGAGGATAGAAGGAACTACCACCGGTAGGGGTTAGGCATCGTGCAAGCTCTGCTAAAAACAAGTCGTAAACAGACACCATCGAAGGTTTTCCACTGACAATAACCAATCACTATCATCCTGACTGACCACGTGACAAGGTCTAGAACAAGGGAGGTAATTTGCAACTGAATACATTGAAAAAGAATGGCTAAAGTTGAGAGTAAAGACAGTTGTATATAGTTACCAGAAGTTTTGATTTCAGTTACTTTGAGGGGTGAACCGGGATTGGAGCTTATTTCTACCATCCGTGGAGGTGACCTTTCAACGGTACTTTGCGATCGTGAACGGGCGCTCGTGTCCTGCCCTCCACTACTTTCAGTATGGTTTAGCATCAGCATTGGGATTGCCTCCTCCCCATTTCGGCCTTGTAGATAGTACAAAACAAGTAAGATTAGCTATTGCCAGCTACCACTAGATGACGTCACAAATAAGGAAGCTCCAATCAAATCACAGACTGATTTACGCATATCAAAAGCTAGAATCTAGTAGTGAAGTTGTTAGGCATAAGAAGCGACACTAAAGCCTATTTTGGTTTGTATTCGTAAGGGGCAGCTTTGGTGAGGTTCGAGAGCTGGGGATCTGTTAATACGTGTTTTCAGTATGCAGTCAATCCTCACTGTGACTGTTATATAAAATTCAACAGAATCTTCCTGCATCTACATGTATGTTGATAATCGTGTCATGTGAATTCAAGGCATCGTCGACTTGCTAGATATTTTCCATGTACTATCTTCTGTACAACTACATATTCTTTTCAAAACAGTCCCGGCTCGACCTGCATTTATAGGTAGTGAATGTTGTTGCATCCTATCAATGTCTGTGTCACACACTTCTCGAATCATCGTCTTTATTTGAAATAGAAGTAACGAACTGTGCAGTTGGACAAAGATTAACAAAACTTACATGCTGTTGTTAGTAAACAAAACAGAGCAAAACGGAATAATGGTATCGTTATTCTTACATAGAAAAACTCATATGATTGTAGTAACAGCAAGTCCCACACAGGACACAGACATTTTTTCATTCTTGTAAAAAAACGGAAATAGTTTATTTGAAAATGCTGCTTTAACACGTGTTACTTAACAACAGAAATGAACGACATTGGCTCAAATAATTCCTGGTATATTTTACAACCAATACAATATGTGGATATATGCGAAAAAAAAACCATAAAGAAATTAAAACGCCATGGTAACATCCTTTCATAGGTTCATGAACAATGGAAAAAACATAGATAAATTTCATATATCTTAGGCAACACACTTGTAAGTCGATATAGCATATGATAAGGAAAGAAAATAAGTATACTTGTGCGCTGAAATGAAAGAGTTTTAGTCTAAAACTGAACATCAGATGAGCATTATACTAATGAAACGAAAGGAATGACGAGTGTGATATTACCACACTTAAATCATGCAGGATTGATGGTCTCATGCAGTCACATGCAGTATATCATATACATAATAGGAATATACGCTTATGATGCAGTCAACGTGGCATTCAAGGAAATATGGATCACAAGAGACGACGGTCCTTCAATGTGGAAACCTTAAGTAGAGAGTGAGTGGGCGAGTTTCAATTTACTCCGCCTCGGCTGTCTTTAAAGAAATATCTCCAAAAGCATCCAAACCTTTAAGGAAAGACACTACAGGGAATTCATAAGTCTGGATATTTCATCATTGGGATTAGAAGTAAAGTGGTTATAAATTAAATTAGCTGTGATATTTCCGATATATTTCAACATTCCTGAAATGGGAGGCTGACTGATCACGTGACGTTCTACTCCTTCACACGCTAGGTAACTCAACAACATAATTGACATACGGTGTATTACTGTCAAAATGCATTATGCAGTTAGAACATTTCAAGTTTCCCTTCTCATATGGTTGCAGATATGGACAGGTGTTTAATAAACTGGTGATGTGAATGGTGATGACGACTGATGACGGTTACAATGATAGAGTAGATGGTGGTCTAATAAGGATTTGTTTATTCGTCTTCTCTTCTACCGTGTGTATAGTTTCCGTTTGACAAGTACATAAAATATCACTTTTTCTTATCGTGAAACAATGCAAGGGGTACATGTGAAACGCGCCCGATATGATGAATATGTTACATGGTATGAGCAAAGATGATGCCATCTGAACATAAGATCAAGTGCTTTGTTGGCACTAGCAAAAACGAAATAGTTGTTAAAACAGTTGAATAATTCAAGCCTGGGTTTGCTATCATAAAAATACCATTCTGTGAAAATTGAAAATAATTCAGGGTGCTTCAATGAAATAAGAAGGAACTCTGTTAAAGATCGACATATTAGGAAATGAAACTGAAACTGAATTCAAATGGATTCTTGCAGTCAGAATGTGTGAGGATAAAATATATGATGTTTCGGCATAAGTGATAAGTCACACGTGATGGGAATGATAGCGAATTGGGATGTGTCTTGTTTATTACCAATATTATTATAGAACGGACGATTGGCACCCATTCCGACAGCTGAAATATAAGGTGGAATTAGCACCTGTTTACACAAACACAATAATCAGGTTATACATACATTCATTACAACACTTCCCTTGAAAGGATCAGTGAAACAAATACATTTCAAACCAAATATATACTTGACACATATCAGTCCTTCTCTACAACTGTCATTATGCTGATCACTGGATTGTCTGGTCCAGACTCGATTTTTTATAGACCGCCGCCATATAGTGGAATATTGCTGAGTGCGGCGTTAAACAACAAACCAACCAACTCGACCACTTGTTGCAGATTACCGTGGGATTTCGTATGCAAAGCTTACAACATTGATATTGTTCCAAGCAATGGTCAAGCATTCATAATGTCATGGATACGTATGGATACTAGGACTGATACGTTGCCCTGATATGTTTGTGACTTCAAGGGAAGTGTTGACATCAACAAGACAAGAATAATATGCATAAACAACACACTTTTCATAGACACACCATGGTTTAACAGATAGACACGCTTAAGCTGTTTATGACGTGCATTGCTTACAGTACTTCACTCAATGAATTAGTCAAACAGCCTTATATCGGGTTTAATCCAGATTTAACTATTAATGGTATTCAGTGCAGTTTGGGAGATCATCTAGTCATGAACATTTTAATGAAATGTGAACAAAATGCATTGTGTTCACTAAATGGTTGGTAGCATTGAAATTAGTTGATGAACCCATACGTGAAGATATGTGTACATTTATATCGATACGCTTATCTGTTGCAATGTATGCTGGCGTCGGTCGCGCATTAGTGCAGCAAATGTTTTAACCTTTTAAATAGGTTCCACACGCATCAGAAACATGTAATTAAAACAAGAACATTTCAGTAAAACTGTGTTTAACCACACGTGCAGTTGTAAAATGAAAACTATACACAACATTTATGTTTTAACATAATTTGGAAAATGAAATCCGTTGTAGAACTATGAGTATTACTTATTAGCAATATGAATGAATTTTGACCTGTGCATCAACAGTGCGTTCAGTGTAATTAAATATCAAATCTTAGCTGGTTGCTGAAATTCTGGAAACTATTTGTGATAATACCGATGATGAGAATCACATCATGCGTCTTAACTCATCAAAGCTCCATTACCAAAAGGAAACTCATTTATTAAAAGTATCAGCGTTAACAAATGAAATCTATTTCCACGTTTCCTTAGTTTACCTACATATGGTATATATGGATGCAGACTGTAACCGTCAAAATGTGTGAGTTGTATTTCACACAGTCGATTCATTTTCAGAGGTTATGTTTCCCATTCCACATATAACAAAGAAACGACTTTAACACGTCCTCCCAAACATTGCTGTTTGTTTCAGTGAAACCTGAATGGAATCTGCATCGTTGAGACGTGTTATTCACTGGCGTTGGAGTTATTTATTGTATCTAACTGTTGAATGTCCCCCGAAATAAGTGTTATTGTTCACAAACCTCTGAGAATGAATGTTAACTGTGCACTGCTGTTCAAGACATGCAATGTTGTGATGTGCCCCCAAACGATTGCAGATGTTTAAGATTTAAATACTTTGTTTAAGAAACGTAATATTTTGACGACAAAATAGAGTTGTTAGAACTCTATAACGGGATTAATTGAAGTTATCGAAAATAAGGATTTTACATTTAATGAAACATCTGCAATGGTCGTATAAACGATCGGGAATCCAGCAAAGAAAGAAATTAGCCAAAACTAAATTGATACTCTACCACCCATAAGAAGGCCCACATTGTAGGCACCTGGTAGGAAATATAAGGTTGTAAATATATTAGGGGAATTCATATAATATTTATTCAAATGCGTATTTTTCTCTTCTGCAGTCTTTCGGTAGTTAGCATACACCACGGCTATTCCTAAAATGAAACGGACAAGGTCATAATAGGTAAAGGTTTCTATAAACGTTCATGAAACATATATGAAATGATTAACTTTTTGGCATGCTCATTTCGAGTGCAAACAGTTCGGAACCACGCAGTCACGTGGTGTATATGTGGACACTTGTGTCACGTATGGCAATTCTGTTGTAAGAACTATTTGCTCCGAGATCGAAGTCCGTTTTCAAAACACGGCAAGAGGTGCGCCATTTTTATATATTTTTATTAACTCAAATCTACTGTAAACTATTTTTTAGCTTTATTTTTTTTAAATTTTGTTTGGCATATGTAGATGTAAAGCTACTTGGAGCCTAATGTCTATCTGCATCAACAGACGGGTATGACTAGTTGCTGTAACACATTCATGGGATATGTGGTATGAACAGGGTACAGCAGGTACCATTTGTGAACACGTCTACATCAACTTCTATTTCGCGGGGAAGGGGAGGGTAACCAATCAACTAAAACACACGATTCAGTTGGTTAAACCTCACGCTGAATTTTTGTTGATTGGTTACAACTTTTCTAATGTGTATGTATTCTGTGCACAGCTGACATTATTCTGTATGCATAAAACTACAGTGCCTATATAGTGTCATAGGTCTACATCTATATGCACACACACATCTCCATGGAAACATAACCCTGTCTATTGTCAATCTTATTATGTTTATGGCTACACAATCGTCATTCAAATACTCGTGTTTAATGTGTAGAACCAAATCTGTTTTAATGGTCGAGTAAATCTGCTGGATTTTCAGATTCCTTTCCTCACCTGGAGAATTAGTTTTTTCAAGATGGCCACAGATTATGTTTGATCAAACACGAATAACTCTTGCATCGTGTTTGGGAGGATCCATTGATGACATACTAGATCATGAATATAATAACAAAACTAATCTCATTGGATCTTGGTAACCTGAGAGCCACGCATCTCGTGGACACCTAGCTAGGACGTCTGTTGTCAGCACGGTGACAGAAGCGCGCGGACGGCCTGACATGCACACAGAGGAGCCACACCAGCATGCACCCATAGTTCCGGCATGCGCAAAGACATGCGCAGCAAGACATGCCCACATCAGTCGCTTATAGCAAGAGGAATATTTCCACATGCGCATATGCACTTTCTACCTAGATTTTGTTACGAAGAAAGCACTTCGAACTCAAAAATGCTTGTCTTAACCGACTACAGGAGATATGCCACTGACTATAACAAAACTAAGTGAAAAAACGCAAGTCGCAATTCTGAGTTTCATACAATGACTCCCGGTCGACGCACTAACACATAGCATAATCATGTGAAGTTCAATTCGTCTGAATGAATGTTTCAAAATGATACTTCAGTGTCGTCCATCCCATGTGTTCGACAGGGAGCCACATGAAACAAAATGAACCCTGAAACCGGAAGCGTGCATACAAACCGGAAGACGTTATGACTTACTACGGAAGGGCATCAGCTCCTGTAAAGCGCCCCCGTGGGCTAGAGAAGAGAAGGAGTAATCTAAATGTCTATGCGGGTGGACAATAATACACGGTATTGGGCAAAGTAGCTCTCAATATCAGGTCTGGGCAGGTAGGGCACTTCCATGCAAGTCAATTAAATCAAAACACATTTTAGGTATGAAACGTTTTCTGAGAGCATGTACCGATATTTGGTGTTCTTTGTTGACAGTGAAAATAACATTCGTGATAGAATTAATCGTCAAGTGTGTAAGGATTCATATTGCAGTACAGCTAATTTCGAATTTAATCTTTAAAAACTAAAAAACATTGTATTACAACTACTGAGGGACTTTACATCTCTAAATGTTTCACAATTACAAGTCCAATACAGACTATAATAATTAAAAATACAATTGCATATAATTTACCATTTGTATTTCAAAAGAATTCAGGTGAATTTCATGAAATCCTTTAAATATCGCTGCACTGTAAGCTCAAAAGAACCTTACATGTCTGTATGATCACATGATAGTATGGAATGTTTTTATTTGAAGGAATTTAGATCACGGATAACCTACACATCCACATCCAATCTGACCTTTGACCCTCTGCTACTTAACCCAACACCATGCGCACCAGGTTCACGACAGAAGCTGCTGATCACGTGACAATTCAATGAAAAAAAATAATCAGATCACACAATAAATACCACCTGCAATGTCTAGATAGGGAATAAGACACATAAACATTCATGTGGAAAGTTGTATCTGAAAAGCTAGTGGGGAATTGAAATACAAAGTTCGAATAAAAGTTACAAAAAGGGATTACAGTGACATTCAAACGGTGAATGAAAAATGTAAATTCATTAACGGCAGCTGATAAAGAAGAAGACTTATTGGATGGCCATTGTTAAACTGTTCTACCTAATTACTCATAAACAGTAGCATAAAGACAATAGCACGCCACACACCTGAAAATGAAATATTAAGTACAATAAACACTCAGGTTCACGCAGTGGACACCGGTAGACTTGTGGTAATTCCAGTCCAAACTAATGAGTGGGACCCGGCTCGGAACCCCACTCAAGGTGTATGTACATCCCAGGTTGATCTAGAAAGCTAGACATATATTCAATACATGGACATATCCACTGCTCTGGCGACAGTAAAGGCAAGCTCTACCTACAAGCACTAAATCGCTTTGAAGCAAATGCAATTTCTAAGTACAATTTTAAGTTGTGTGAACATACGAATTGTGTCACAAAATGTGGGTAACAAATTGAGAAGCAGGGTTATAAGTGTACGTGGACGTCTCCCAATAGAAACGTCGAGAAAAGTAACAGTAAAAATATGTTCATAAATCTGAACAAATGTAAACTGTGTCCTAATTAAATATAAGGGTCCCTTCAAGGGAGAGACATGTGAAACATGTATATCTTTGCTTCACATAACACAAGCCAGCTTAAGTACCCAAGACACATCTTTAGGCACTTTAAGTCCTGGGTTTGTTTCTCGAATACAATGTTGTGTTAAAATATAGAGCTACAGAAAGCGTGACTCTAATGCTTAATACATTGAAGATAAGTGCTAATGTTGTTCATAAAAACAAGCGCCATGTTTACGTATTCGCCTATCAGTGATCACTGGATCGTCTGGTCCAAACAATATTGATGAGTGCGGGGTTAAACAACCAACCAAGCAACCAAACCTATCAGTATTGTTAATTCAGTATATATTACACAGCGAGAAGTCTACACTGTCATACTCTGTTTGAACTCACTGCACTCATCACGTCGTTCTATGTCTACATTAGGTTTTTATCCGCTATAACATCGGAGATGCTGACAAATAGCTCGAGCTCAACAACACATGTTGTGCCACGTGGAGCAGTCAGTCGCTGTTACTTCCTTGTGTGAGATTGTTCTATTTCCAGGGTTTACGTTGAGGCAATAACTTTGTACCTGCACGGGCAGAACGATTATTTAATACAGGGTCATGATACCCTTACCCAAATTCAAATTAGAGGGGATACATTCTCTCCATATTCAAAGTTCGTTTACACAATTTAGATATTAGAAATAAACCCGGAACGACACTTAAGAAAGAAACCGCTTTATCTGAACACACCGGCATCCTTCAGTGGATGTTTCAAATTTCTTAAAATATTATTTCCAGTTCTATCTAATTGCTACAATTCTTGAGGTTTCGTGTAAAATGTGAAATTGTCCATTTATTACTTATTTAACTCTTGCTTTAGCATAATGAATTTACTAGCAACATATCACAGTTGGGTTAAGATGCCTATCTACATGAGATATAATTTCAGATTTAACACTTTCATTGTTGCCCCTATCGATGAGGCATCCTTCCTTGAAAGCAATATCACGCCGCTCAAATTGCGCACAAACAAGAGTTATCTCCCTTACACCGTACATCAGAAACGGATATCCTAAGCACAACACTTGAATGTGCAACGATATGGTCCTTTTGATTGAAATGACTACACTAATACACTTCATTTAACTTGTCAAAAAAAACATTATTTGTTTGTGATTTATGAAACTGATATATTACGACGAAATATATTTCACATCAAAGTGTATTATACTGAACATTTAGCCACGTGTACGGTTAGATATTGTTCGCTCACAAGCATCAAGAAGAGTAATCAACCGTGATTTAAGGGAACGAAATGAGAAAATGTACGTTACCGTAGCTTCTGATGCTTCAATTGCTGAGTAAACGAACGAACAGATGCCCCTAATTCAAGTGCCCATATCGACTGATGTCTACCGAACCACATTACCAACAAATCGCCAGATTTCACGTCTATTAAATATTCTCTTCGGCGAATATTGATATTTCCTCTAATAAAATTTGTAACAAAACGTACATATCTGACATCAATACTGGAGAGCTGTCTATTTTCTAGTCGGACGGAAGTTTAAAGCAAAACCAGCTCCGCAGCAACTGAATATGGCTCTTCCGGCCAGTTTAGACACTTTAACCATACATTGATGATTCTAACATAACGGGTAATGACGATAAACACAGATTTACTCAGACCAAGAATATCAGTAACATTTCAAACACGCGTTCTGCGACACCTTTTAAATTGACACATAAGAAATATAGGTAAGAATAAAGTGGCCTATATGAGGTATGTTATGACGCCATCATCTAATGTGAAGTCATTACACATGACGTCAACAAATATTCTTGTATTACGTCAACAATGCTGCTTGCGTTACCATTACAAGTGTGAAACATCCCCATGAGTCCCAATGATGAACAATACCTATATTATAATAATTTATAATGATTTATACAGCAATATATATTTCATATTTTCATAAACCTTATACTCTTAAAGTGAAATACGGTTTTGTAGCTCTTTCAGAGCACACTCTGGAGGAAGTTGCTGTTGTCAAGGTGACGACAGAACCATATATGCATCAGTCCTTAACTAGTTTACAGGATATAAATATATAACATGTGTTCCTGTCAAAACTGAACAGCATTTCGGCTGTACGAGTTGAGTATCACCGTGTACGCTAGTCTACGGCGGGGAGCGTAGGTTTCGCTGCGACTGTAAGTGTAGAAGATGGAAAACATGTGCAAGTCAAGTTTATGCACGTGAGGCATATGTTACACGTGCAGTGTGACGTATATGACAGAAGTTATATAAACAACAGTTCATGAGCAGCGTATTGGAAGAGAGACCATGCAAAATACTGATGGTTGGGTACTTCTAACATCGACGCAGTGTGAGGAACTTGATCTACGACTGGTACTAATGAGCTGAAGTGTGATGGGCTGTCTGAATACGTGATGGGGTAGTGCGAGCGACTATTCCGGGAAACTATTGGAAGGACATGATTGGACTTGAATCACCACTGGACCACCTTTACATCAACACGAAATATACCACAGGGGAACTTTAAAATCACAATAATGATTAAACGACACCAACTATCAAATAATGACATTTACCTATTCTGCCCATCTTCGCCTCTAACGCCCCAGGATGGTTATGTTTGATGGCGTTCATCCTGCGTGTGCCCCCTGGTCCGGGGCCTCCAGCACCCCCGGGCGCCCCTGGGGCTTTTGGTCCCTTCGGGCGGGGTGCCTCCACTGGTAGAACCCGTCTCCTCTTCTTGGGTAGTTTAGATCTTGCTTGAGTATGCGAGTAAAACAGAGCGAAGTTACTGACGATAACAGGTACGGGAAGGGCTATCGTAAGCACACCAGCCAATGCGCATAAGGCTCCAACAAACATCCCGACATAGGTTTTAGGGACCATGTCCCCGTATCCCACTGTTGTCATGGTGACTATGGCCCACCACAAGCCCACAGGGATGCTCTGGAAGTCATTTTCCGGGTTATACTGAATACGCTCAGCATAGTAGATGAGCGCTGCAAAGATGACGATACCGAGCACGAGGAAGAATATGAGGAGGATTAACTCCTTTGCACTGGCTTTGAAGGTATGAATGAGAATCTTCAGTCCCGCGGAATGCCGCGTTAGCTTACAAAGTCTCATGATACGGATAATGCTAAAAAACTCCAGCATGTCGCTTTCCTGTTGTAGTTTTGTGAGCAAGAAATCTAAATAGAAAGATAACGTGGCTACAATGTCAATTATATTCACGGGTGCTTTCAAAAAATCAAATTTATTAGGTGCTACGATGAAGCGAATAATGATTTCGAAGGTGAACCAAGCATTGCTCGCACATTCAATGTAGAAAAAAGCGTCGTGAGGTTCGGTCTCTGTTTTCTCTAGTCGCCATGTTGTATTCCCGTCAGCCGTTTTGGAAGTGGTATTGCGCAAGACCGGAACTCTCATCTCGGGATGCGTTTTGAGGCAGAAGGACAATATAGAGATTACTATGAAGAACACAGATATAACCGCAATTATCTGAAAGTAAAAAAAAATAACATTAACGTTAGTTATGTCTTGCAACTTTGCGGGTGTCAAACAACCAAATATAAAACATCAAAACGTAGCAAGCACTAGCCAATACTGACATGTATAGACAAATGTCACAAACCTCAGTCCGGTGGAATAAAAAAATTCTTTTATGCCAGGAAAATGGCATTTAATCCGTGGACCTCAGTTTTGACATTTGTCTGCTACAGTACATTATAAGGCATAAAGCATACCCATGTACTGCAGTTCACCACAGTGTTTGAGCAAACAACAATAAAACAAAACAACATGCACAAATTTCACGTTTTCAATTATCACAATGGAATTTAAACCTATAATTAGAATCATATGACAGAATATAAAATAGAAGAAACCACCAATATGTGATGGTTGTTAATTGTCCACCGTCAGTTGTCTGCTGTCAAGTTGTAGCACCCATTTAAAGCAGATCACAGTTATGATTTATTAACTATTTCGAAAATTCAAATACCGAGTCTATATTTCACATAGACAAACTCACATTTGCTGTCCATATTCAAAGAGTTTAAGATGTTATTATTTATGGATACGGAACCAATATAAGGCATCAGTTAATGGAGCTGATAATTGGCTAAGATAGGGAAAATAACTGTATTTTCGCGAACACCCGGTGTTATGGTTGATTTTCAGTGATCCATTAATGCAATGGTTAACGCTCTTTTGCCTTTAGCACCCTACCCATGAAGATCCGGGTAAGAACTGGTCTTCAGTAACCCATGCTTGTCGTAAGAGGCGACCCGTGAAAGTCCGGGTTAGAATATTGGTCTTCAGTAACCCATGCTTGTCGTAAGAGGCGACTAACCGGATCAGGAGTGGTCAGGATCCCATTTGCGCAGATCGATGCTCATGCTGTTGATCACTGGGTTGTCTGGTCCAGACTCGATTATTTACAGACTGCCGCCATATAGCTGGAATATTGCGGCGTAAAACTCAACTCACTCACTCACTCGGAAGAGGCGATTTCCTCAGGTTTGCTGACCTAAACCAATATATTGAACCAATGGTTTGAAAGTGCAACCATGTTGTTTTTCTGAGCTAAATGGTTAATAGTACAGTGCACCGTAACTGAATGCACTAGATAGTTCATGGACTTCCATAATCAGTTGAAATATGATATGATTGTTGTGTAATACAATTATAGATTTCTCTTGGAAAACATGTATCGGACGCAAATAGCATTCATTGTAAACTGGTACCGTTTGGTGTAATTTCATCTGACATACTCATGTATAAATGAAAACATAATTTAATGGAAAAGAATTACCAATGAATCAATACCAATGACTTGATCCTATTTCATCTTTTCATTGACTGGAAAGTTATAAGATCGATGGTTGTTAGATTACGTTTAGTCTCTGAAATATGTAACTTTGACGGGAATTAATTACTCAGTTTTGATTGAAAAGGATCATACCTAACATTGGAAAACCTCAGAAAACACGGTGCGGAATGGAAACTGATATGGTTGAGGGGCTTTGAGGCAAACTAGATGCTTGCATTTAAGTTCCTGTTCGAAAACAATATATGCTCCATGTAGAGTTGTGAAAACCAACGACTCCACTGTAACGATTCTTACACGACTTTCATAAGTTATTTTAGTATGGTATTGGTTTGGTATAGGTTCTGTTGTACATCCCAGTAAAGTTCAATAAATGGCCGTGCCATCCACTACCAGAAGAGCAGTCTTGCCGCATACTTTATAGTAGTAGATGATAAGTGAGTGAGTTGGGTTTTGCGTCGCTATTACCAATATATATAATATCAAGGCGGGGGCCACCAGAAGTGGGCTTCTCGCGTTGTAACCTTATTGAACCCAGGCCTTCGTCGTGACGAACGAACGCTTCAACCACTAGGCTAACCCACCGCCCCCAGATGCTAAGAAACTACGTGATGATAGTGAGCGAGTCGATGTTCAGTGATATTTAACAAATATCACGACTGGGGATACCGGATAAAAGCTTCACACAAATTGCACATACACGGAAACGAACCCGGGCCTTCGGTACGAACGGTTTAACCCTTGGTGATTCTCACCACCCTTCTAGCGCGGAACAAAGTGACAGTGAAAGCATACTAAGGTATTTTGTATGTTATGTATCTGCCCGAAGGACTGTTTACATGTGACCGCTATGCATTCAGATGTACACCGTTCACAATGTCGACTGTCAGTGGTTCATTAACAGGAATACAGGTTATAACGTCCTATACGTTATATATTATTGTTATACTGTTTATGCATTAGTTTCCACACAGTTCACAGTGAACTTGATGAATTCATCTGTACATTGTTCACTGTGTACGTTATGTAAAGATCTCTATGATGGTATTAAGTACGTAATGTACGTCATGGATTCATCTACATGCTTCAGGCTATATGTTTATCTCTGAACAGTTGACAGTGGATTTTATGCATTTAGAGTTCAGTTTAGTGTTCATTTAGTGTATGTAGTTCATTCAACTCTGTTGTAAACAGTTATCCTTTTTTCGTCCATTTAAATGCTGTTCACAGTGGAAGTTGAACTTTCATCTGTATACTTTTCATAGACAGTTCACAGTGATCGTTATCATCTGTTTGCTGTCCACTGTTTACATTATGCATTCAGCTGTACAGTGTCAACAGTTTTCGTTAGGCTGTATGTTGTTCAGTTATGAATGTATCTTTATAATGTTCGCATAATGCGTTGTGCATTCATCTGTATAATGTTTATTTGTGTTATACATTCATCAGTATATTATTCACGGACTTCATTATAAACCACTATGAATAGTGTTCACACTGGATTTTACACATTCATTTGTATAATGTTCATCTGTTATGCAAACATCTGTTTAATGTTTACTGTTCTATACGTTCATCTACATATAGTTTACAGTGTTCGTTATACATTAGTCTGTACAATGTTCACCGTTGCTATACGTTCATCTGTATATTGTCCACAGGTTTCGTTATAAATGACTCTCTATATTATTCACAATGTTTGTTAAGCATTCATCCGCATAATGTTCACACTAAACGTTATGCATTCATCTGCGTATTGTTCACAGTGTTCTTTATGATTCCATCTTATATTGTTCCGGTTTAGTTAAGCATTCGTCTGTAAAATGTTCACACTGTACAATATGCATTCATTTGTATATTGTTCACAATGTTTCTTCTACTTTCATATATGTGTAATGCTAAATGTAAGTTATCAGTTCATACGGTGTACGTCATGCATTAATGTCTTTACTATTGTTATGCATGCATGTTATACCATACACCGCTTACATCATGCAATCACGTGTATGCATTCACAGAGTACATTGTGCATTTATGCGTATTACGTTGTGTACGTCTCTTTGTGTTATGTTCACAGCGACGCAATGCATTCACTCTGTTCACCACGTGGGATCAATTGTCAGAACATGTATTGCATCTTTCAAAAAAAAGAAAGATTAAGGACATTTCTTAGTCATTTATAAAGTATATTAACCCAAATTGATAAATTTAATTTATTCACTTCATCCACAGAACATTAATATGCTCAGTACACAAAGAGGTTTCGATTTGATCGCATCAGTAACTGTTCGCATTCTATGGACAATTCAGTTCCAACAGAACTAACTGGAGAATACGACCGACGGAGCCCAGCTATGTCCATACTGATAGCAGCGCCGTGAGTATCAGTGTTGGACGTTCATATTGACAAGATTCAATTCTATAAGCAACCCTGTTCACATCACAACTGAGCTTGTGGGTCGATGGGAGGTCTGGAGATTCTCTCGCTCCGAGGCCCAGTTGCTAGATAACGTAGCTTCATTTCAAAAGGAGAAGCTCTTCGCACAAAATCAATACCTAGTTATAGCCAGTTTCAATAATTCTCTGATTTTTTTTTCTCAGAACTAAAATTTCAAAGAGGTTGTGATTTTAGTTGACTTGCTTGGTTGTCAATGCAGTTTTGGGTGAGTGATAGTCATTCTGTTGATGAAAGACCTCTGTTGCTTCTCCTTTGTTTCACCGGGAAACGTAATGATATAAAATTATGTTTTGGTTTCTTGAGAAAATTCAATCATAAAGGAATTAGACATGTTCTTTGTAGCTGAATGACACAAAATTATCATGCCGCGCCGAGAAGGAATTGTTTTTTCAACGTTTTATTAATCTCCTGGTCTCTTGGATTCATTCCTGGATGTTAGAATGGATTTTATCATACCCCGTCAAGCATGAATCAATAACGTTGTTTTTCACCCTTACATTTTCAACTTGTCGATTGGCCCGCTGAGAGAACAGAGTAGCTTCCATCGGACAAAACACGCCCAACTTCAGCTGATTAAGTTGATTAAATGCTTTGCTGTAAAACAACTACATCTGATTAGCGCCAGTGATACACGCACCGTCCAAAACCATCCTTGAAAACTGTTGCAACACGATATTGATATATCATTCATTTTACACAGCAATATTACACCACAGATAATTAAAGAATGTTCCCACGATATGGCCGTTGGCGTGAAATGACCACGGTCAGTGACACACAAACGGACGCTGAAATATGCTCACATGCGCCATGCTGTAAACAGATGATATTATAATATTTTTCTAACCACGTCCCGCGCGATCGCCACGTAGGCACAGTCAACTGTGTCAAGATCCCTCTTCTAAACGAAGGCGTTACCATCTCGCGAACACCCGGTGTCTTTTCCGATATTCTGGGATTAATTGATCCGTTTTATCGCTATTTTGCCTTTTAAGAAGAATATGTTTCGTCAGATACTGTTCATTCTCTGGCGTTGCTGTTCAATATTTATTGATCTTTGTCGACAGGTGAGTGGGGTATACGCCGAAAGAATGTCACAGAAATTAGTGGTTGATGATGTGAACAAAGAGTCTAAATTCTAACCATACACTAACCCCGCCATGCTAATGCGTGATTGCAACACTCGGCCATTTCTCCCTTTGAATATATTTTGACATTGCAATTATCATCGATATTAGACTGTTTGCAGCAAACATATCATCATGTCTTTCTGAAGTCTTCATATCATTTAGTAACATTTAGCACGCTTAGATGGTGTGATCTGTCACATCGATATTTCCTAAACAAATTATGGCATTTATTGTCATTGAGATCACAGTATATCTCAATGGCCGTGAAACTATGTATTTGTTACGATAAAAGGAAACTTGCTGTACGTACATAACGCAAACATACTTTTACACAATGCAAACACAGTGAGGCTGACATTTGTATTGCGTTTTAGAAGATCTTAAAGATGTTAGCTGCTTTACTAATTATTATGAGGGGTGGTGTTTACAAGAATTTAGCACTGAAGCATTAAAACTATTCAGCGATGCAACTACCGTGCTGTCTTTCATGGTTATCCTCGTTCTTCACAGCTGTAAAATATGGAACAGACTTTAGCTGAAACAATTCCATTAGGATCTAGTACTATCCATCAAGTGGGATGATTGATTTTTTAAATCATTTGATCCGTGTGTGAAGACACTGCCTAACCCGTCAACAAACCGAGCAAGTAAGAGACCAAATTCAGAAACAGACCATATCCATTTGGCATATCGATCCGAACACACTGCCACATTCCCCATCACTTTGATGAAGATGCACGTTGGGGACTAGGAACGTTGACGACCACGGCCATCCACGTCATCGTTCACTAAGCAACACGGTGCCTACGTCATTGTATCAGCTCATGACATCATTGCGAGGAATAAATCGTCATAATGCCCAAATGATGCAGCCGTACCGACGTCGTGGTGGCCAACTTCTTCGCTGGCTTGCAGGCTGCGCTCCCGCCATCTCCGTTTTCCACCATGGAGATCAATAACCTTCTAGTTGCAGACCTTGCCTCATGTCGTTGTTGCTGCCTCTCAAATGGAGTAACCTTGTTTCCCAAACGTTCCCATATTCTTCCGCGGCCCCTAAACAAGACACTGATCCCCAAGCTCTTGCCTTGTAAAGCAGTGCACGTAAATGTTTTTCAATATCTACGGTACTGACATTTAACCTCATCTTTGAATAATATCCAAGTAAAACTGAATTATTTGCTAAACTGTTTTTGTTGATTTGGCAGTGAGGCCCATATTATGCTCCATCCTGCGATCATATAGCTTGAAGTGGGTGCAAGCGACAACTGACGGTAAACATGAGTACATACATTCTGGTAGTAGAAGACTGCTTCGTTACATCATATCAATCATTTGACACTAGACATATATATATGTATATATACTTAACTATCCTCTAAAAAATGAAAATATCTTACAATTACGTTATTAAAAACATTAGTTACAGTGATATATCATTGAGAGGAATTGAGATGAAATCAGCATCAATTGATGTTATCGTTACCAGTTAAATATATCACACCACAAACAACAGCAGCGTAGCACAACACACAACATCAAGATTCACAACACTCGCATGTAGATGATGTAAAGGAAATCAACAGTCGTATTCGGGGTGTGTTTCAGTAGCTGAGAACTCTCTTCTCTTAATCCGAAAATGTATGGAATATTAGTGTTATGAGCATGCTCTCGGCGTGTTAGTGGTATGGGTGATAGTGACATGTCCTGTATGCTATGCGAAACAGGGACATTTAATAATGGCATTGCATAACAAAACGAAAACGTGTAGGTGCCTGCATACGTGTGGACAATGCTCAAGGTGGCTTACAATAATGCAATAATGTCCTTGCACAGTGAAAGCATACACCCCAAGCTGCGTAAGCAGAACTACTTCCACGAGGCGGATGCAGATGCAGTGACTTGTTTGTATTCATACACGGTTTAAGCACAGATCATTCCGATCTCATATATATCTTCTAAAGGAGCGTAATGCATTGTATACATTATAAATCTGAACTAGAACACATCAGCACTTATGAAACAATTTCCATATTTTAAGTGGTAGTGTTTTAGGTAAAACTGGTTAGGTACACAAAAGCCGATTGGGGCTATGTTAGTGGTGGTGAACGACACATGAGTTATTAGTTCTCCGAGTTCTGTGTTATGGACACACCTATGATGATAGACAAGTTTTGGTTGCGAACACCCAATGGTACGGCAGATCAAGCTGATGGATACCTAATGATTCAACCAGATTAAAGTCCGGACAGTCAATGTTACGGCGGGTATTATTGTAGAGTACGTAATGATTCGACATGATTTCATTCTAAACACTTAATGATTCAGCAAATAAATATTGTAACCCCTACTAGTTCTTCGAAAAGATCAGATGTTGAACGTAAACCGACTGAACAGTTATGAAGTCTGAACACCAACTGTTTGTACATTAATTATATACTCTGACAAAACCATGACTCGACAAGAACAGATGTTGTACACAAAGAAATTCAACAAACCAATTGCTGAACACCAAACGATTTGACAAAGGTCTTTGCTAAACACTGAGATCCAAAGAAATTAGTTGCTGAATTGATGTAAACTGAGATTCGACAAGATTAGACGCTGAACACAAAGATATTCAACCAGAAGATTCCACAGATGCCTTTGCTGAACACTCAGAGATCCAAAGAAAGTAATTGCTGAACTCGAGATTGGACAAGGTTATTTGCTGAACAAGGGTTTCTATTGGAACACCACAATAATGTTTTTTAACATTAAAGACAATATCTTACTCGTTTCAAGTTTCTATAAAGTTGTAGTTTCAATAAACTTTGCAAATTGGGTTTCAGTGTGGAATAAATGTTTTGTGTCATATTGTGTACTTTTAGGAAGGGAGGTTTTCAGTGAGCAGCGTCAGGGTTTCAAACAGGTATTATTTCACTTCCGATACATAATAAATACCTCCAGTAGACATAAGTGACTTATGCAGTTTGTAACATGTTAAGCAAGTAAATCTTGGATAAATGTACCGACGTTGTATCTTCATCCCACCAATTCACCTCATCAGAGGACACAAGGTCAACAACGATTTGCACGCCTAGCCCATATACCCAACGTCTAGGTGTAAACTATAATGAGGTATTGATGGCATTACACTCTCAAATTGAAAACTAAATACACGATTTGAACGCATACTGATAATACGGTGACATAAATAAACACCTCTTTGTAGTTTTCATTCAACCCACAGCAGACCCTACTGGAGAATGATTTAATAATTTCCCTTTAATAGCTCCCTCCAGACAGTCTCAACGTTCAATCTCCCGGCACAGCTCACGCCATGCTTACAAATACCTACCTAACCGGAAAGATAAGCTGTGCTAGCGTGACTAAAAAATTACAATATTTTTATGTAGGTCCATGTGGCAATTTCAATAATAAACTTTGAAAATCTAGGATCAACATTGGTACTGCTTGAGTAATAAAGAGATATCTTTGTATAAATATCCCGCCTTCCAGATTAACATGCCATGGCCGATATCACAGAACACTCCTGCCTACATAGTTATTAAGACGTACACTGGTATCCTAACGCATGCAAATGATATCTGGTGTCTCTTTAATTTAGCAGACATAATTTCAATTTCAAATTGAAACCACCATATCTGTCCTTCAAAATCTTCCTACTTGACGACAATTTAAATTACAAAATCTGGTGACGTCACGTGCTCTTTCAAAGACTAGCACTTTCCGGAGGTTAATTGCAAGTTTAATCCACTGCTTTAGATTATCAAGGCTTATACTCTTACTGTGATGTAATCGAAGATGAGCATATCTGATATTCAACGACATACATATCTGATGAAGCATACCTATCGTTGGCTACTGTACAAGTACACAGTCATTCACAACCACATACAATTTGGTAATGGTTAAAACTCCTCCAAACATTGAAAAGCAATACATAAACACTAGCTTGACCGAAATGCCTTATCAATCCATACCAACATATCCTTAGGAAAAACCTCAATACAAACAGAGCTTACATCAAGATCTCGTCAAACGATGGTTAATATTCGACAATCACTTAACCTGAAGACAAAAAGAAGCATACCCTCCAACCAGTGGTTAAGCTTATACCCTCCAACCAGATGTTAAAATTCCAATACACAGGTGAGGTGGTCATGCAGTGGCTGTTGATATGGCATAGCGCATAGCTGTTAATATTAATGGAAATTGCCACCTTTAGAATACCTCCGTTTGTCATCATCGATGGGACCGCCTTTCATTTTCCATTAGGAAGCAAGCATCTTCGGCTACTTGGATAACATTTGATATTGCCGTGGCTAACACGCTGGGGTGTACCGGAGCGAGAAAAAGTGTGAGTTTGTTGTATATATATATATATATAATGCTACATTGTGTAACTGAGTTCTAGCAGTCTAAGTTAAGAGAACAAAGAGAAAGAGTCGATCACGATATAGATGTCCCCCCTTTAGCTTGACCTCCGCCGATAGATGGCTCTACGATCACAGTGAACCATAGGACAAACAACTGATCGAGTAGGACCTCTGTTGAAGGAACTCTTGCGTCCTCCACACAGAGAGTACGGATTTATTATTTGTTATTTTTAAAAATAATTATATGTAATCATATTACGTAATATAGATGGATGTCGAAAGACCAAATTACAGATTAGACTATTGTTTCGGTATTCGGAAAAATAACTGATCGAGTAGGCGTTTTGTGAAAAAGAAACTTTCCAAAATTAGGATATGAAAAGGATTGGTTTTTATAAAAACGCGACTACTCAAACAGCTATTGTATGCATGAAATATTGTTGTAATTGTACGTAAATACTGGTATGAAAAGTTTAATTATTTGAAAGTAACTCTCTCTTTTGGTTTCCCATGGTTCAGTGTATTGAGGCCTAGCCAAGGGGAGGTTGTCAATGTTGACATGACTATCACAACAAGGACTCTACACACTGAAAGGTGGCAATTTAAGTCAAAACACCTGGTGACTTGCCTTTGCGGCTGTAGACGAGTACGGTTCATCGAACAATGCCCAGATTTTTGGTTTAATCCGCTGCCAGCAGTTCAGCTCGCCTTGTTTGTACTCTTCCTCAAGTCCAAACCTCTTCATGATGTCCTCTTCTGTTGGTTTGTCTGTGTCAAGATCCAACCGATCCAAGATGGCGAGCACATCTTGGGTGTCCCTGTGCTGTGTGTACGTCATCCAGCAACAGGGTTCCACCTGGTTGGCATCAAGAGACCAGAACTCCAACTCCTCTTCAAACAACGGACCGCACACATCGGTCGGGTAATGAAGTTTGCCACTACGATAGTAGTTGAGGATTTGAGCAAAGACCCCGGGATGGCGATCAAAAAAGTACTCATTGAGTACCGGATCATAGTTGGCCAAGGCCTCCGTCAAACGGGACAATCGAGTGGCCGGGATTTTCTTCAAGGTGGCTTTATACGTTTCATGACGTATGCCTCCTACATTGAGGATAACCCTGTTATCTGCATCAGTCATTGTGTTCCCTCGTCAATACACAGAGGGTCAACCGAATGCCCCCTTTGTTGGTACACAAAGCAATATAAATGGTTGTTGTTGTATCCTTCTGCAATAGATCCTCTATATGAATCACACAAACAGTCGGAACGAAGGAGAACTAAACCTTGATCCACAGTGAACACACCATCCGAGTCTGCGAATCACTATTATCCAGAACGAGACTCTACTAATATTTCTCTACCTCCGGAAGTGGAGAGCTTCTATCCACCTCTCCTTCCGGTGTAATGTCGCCTAGGAAACTACTACCACGTAAGGTCGCTCTGTGATGACATTAACCCTACGAGTGTGATGACAGTCAGTGTCCGGCTAGGTGGATTAACCCCTTATGTAACATGTGCATCCGCCGCTCTACCGCCACTGCTTTTATGCCTCATGGTGCGCGACGGCCTTCACCTTCTGATCAGCTGGTAGCGACGTCGGGGCATTCTCTCATAAGCTGGGGACCTGCAACATATATTGTACATGTTATATTTGGGATTACACTTTCTCAGTAAAGTACAGATTCTAGTACTTTTATATTGTACATGTATTCACGTGTTAAAAGTGTATTCGATTTAAATTCATTACATGTAATCCAGACCTATCAATACATTTAAGACCAAATGTCAAGATCTCAGGAAAGGTACACCAATATTGATGCGGCTAAGGCGTACCATATACTAAGTGGAGACCAAAGGCGTTAACGAGAACTAGTGATGAAATTTCTATGAATGGATCACAGGAATACCAGATATACTCTAATAATGATTAGTGATTGCAGTAGACACAGCAGAAGAAACTATCATGCCGAGTTGATACTGTATATCATTATAAAACTGTATAACTGCAGACCATTGTGTACATGTGCACACATATGAAACACCTGTTCGGAATCACAAGCTTTTTTGTACAATGTATCGATTTACCACAACCAGTATTCGTATAATATAAGCTGTATAAAACACGGTTTGGGATTATAACAGGTCGACCTAAAAATACATGTACATGCATTTATTGCAGTATAAACATGTGTAACGTTTATCGGAGGGACAAACGCTCGGACCACACCCACTGCAATTATGGTTTTGTCAATAAGAAAGAGCATGTGGTAGCATCCTCAATATTGACAGGCAACAGTACATTATCAGGGCCAAAAGGATATGAGAGAAATGTGTGCAACGAGTCATCATGATGAGTTGAGCTATACACAGCTTTGGACAGTGAGTAAGTGAGTTTAGTTTTACGCCGCACTCAGCAATATTCCAGCTATATGGTCTGTAAATAATCGAGTCTGGACCAGACAATCCAGTGATCAACAGCATGAGCATCGATCTGCGCAAATGGGAACCGATGACACAGTGTCAACCAAGTCAACGCTTTGGACAGCATTTCAGCCAAATCACAGACTCACTCAGTTTATGTGAAACGAGTTCCACAGCAAGGCAGAATGTGGACAGTTGCCGTTGTTGAAATATATGGCCGGGTATATATCACAGCAAGGTTTAATCACACAATCCGGTGATGGTCACATGGCTGTTGGATGCCTTGCATTCCATAATGCAGCTGATATAAGTCAAGAAGAAACCATTTTCTTTGTCCCATCATATTCTGTGTTGTACCATAAAACGCTATATCTCATAGACTGTAAGGGATAATTATGTCATTAAACTACATTTATCAAATACAAAAATTGAACGTTCCATTTGTTTTATCAAATAATTTCAAAATTCCCTTACATAATCCTTTGTGTTTGTTCTTAAAACATGCTCCTCAAACTTTAATTCTTTCAATTACTTTGAATGGCCAATGACATTTACCTTTCTTTTCGACTCGCTGTATATTTGTATGTCAACAAGACAATATCTTTCATGGGGAAGTTGTGTTTCTGTGTATCACTATAAAACACGTGGAGATGTACATCCTCATTATGGACGTAAACTTTGGGAACGTAATCATCAGAGTACTTTCTTTTAACAGAATTCGGCATGTGTGTTCGTGAATCGCTGAATGTAATTCATAAGGAAGTTCGAATGGGGTGACATCAAATAGTGTTACCCACACAGCAACATATACAATTCTTTAGAAATACGCGACAACCCTATAAACAACCTATAAAACGTTGAAACGTTGCCTCTTATTGCTTCATCATAAAACCTGGGAAGTTTTTTGAGCAACGATGCAAAATTTAACGATGCAGGTGCAAACCAAATTTCCTTAATGTGCACATGACAACATTTGCACCTGATTATGCATTCAGCAATATGTGTTGAATGCAATATCTAACCAATGTAGTCCAAACCTAACCACGAACCAACAAGAGTGCACGCTGCTGAAATACATAAAGTAAACCGATACCACAAATTAGAAATGGCTGAAAATATTTTTGAGATCGAAAATAGAACGGCTGTCCGCTCTGTTCTCTTCTGAAATAGGTCGGACTTAAACGTGTATTACAGTACGGCGACTGTCAACTAGGAAGCGGCAAGTCCGGTCCCTGGTGTCAGATCTGCAAGACAATAATGCCAAGTCGGTTAGCAATGTTTAACCAGCACTGGAAAATCGATAATTTCTCACAGCAGATGGTAGAGAAAATCCAAGATGGCGACCATGGACGGCAAACAGAGTACGGAAGCATCTCTGCGTTGAGCTGAGTCGAGTAAATCAATGCAAAACATGAAAAGCAACACTTTGTGGATCGTTGCCAGTATCCCATAAACTACGCGTATCGCACAGCGAGAGTGGTGGCACATTATACAATTAAAACAATCGATTTCTCACAAACCTGATTTGACATGAAGTGGTTAACACGTTGTGGAATAGATTTCATGTTTATCTCCCGTCAGATGTAGCATTATAAGATGTTCTTAGTTCAAGACAGAATACAACTGATGTTGGGTCTGCTGATTAATGCAATATGGTACATAACATCCCATACCATGGACGTTAACGATAATATGGTCAGAGATACAAATGGGAGATCTTTTAAAAGATCCTTTCTAATACTATATCTTCGTTCATATAATATTGCAACAGAGGTCATCACTCAAAGCATAAACCACTAGTCCTCACTGGGCATTGAGTAAAATGACTATGCTTGTGTCCTTATTACAGCGGTAATAACCAGAGTCTATTTCTAGCCACAGTCCACCGAATGACCATCAGTCACTAATTACAACTAGAATTAATACTCCAGCGTATAAAATGATGACAAGGTGAATTATCCCAGGCATGGATACCGTTGAAGTGGACAGTGGTTATTATCGGTGGTCAAAGGAAGTAAATCGTGTCTTCCAGACCTTTGTCAGTGGGGCTTGATGGAGTATTGGGGGTCTTCAGCTACTTCCATTGTTCTGATTGTTTGCATGCGATCTCCAATATTCGAATAGTTCGACATAGACTAGTTTTCCTGTACTACGCGTTGCTTCAAAACTCGTTCTGTTTCTTTCATATACGTTCGACTTTGGAGTAACAATTTTCTCCTTTATGCAGCACACTGTTGCCTCCTTACTGATGCTGTAGTCCACAAAACTGTTGCTTTCACACGCCTCATCCTTGCATTCATAAACCTCGGTGATTCTTTCATACATTATGACAATGCTTTCATAAACCATACTTCCGCTTTCATACACCGCTACGCTTTTCATGCCCCTCACCACTATGTTCATATACCATAGTGGTTCTTTCATATATTACAATGACTTTCATAACTCACCGCTGCTTTCAAAAAGAAGGTTTATTTTGCATACGCTAGGGTGATGCGTTCATTATTCATATAGCTGTTTTCGTGCCTCTCACGATTGCATTCATGCATCCTACTGCTACTTTCATTTACCAAACGTTTGCCGTCTCCACCATTCGTGCTGTCATCAATCCCACTCCTACTTTCATACAACACAGGGATGCTTTCATATACAACAAAGTGGTGCTTTCATACCCTGCACTGTTGCCTTCATAAACCAGACTGCTGCTTCCGCTGACTTACCATAAAACAACCTTTCGCATCGTACCATTTCCGTCAGCTCGTTAAATACAGAACATAGATCCGACTATCACTTCGTTACACGTTTGAAATGAAAACAAAATATTCAGTTGGCTCTGGGATAGTGGTGTGGTCAAGTACACATCCCGATAGAAATGCCACCTTGGTATTCAAGAAACCTATTCCTACCATACCACTACAAGATGGATACAGCATAGCTGAAGGGTGTTCAACCCTACTGGCTGCCTTCTAGCAGCCATTACAAACAGGAATCATTTCTCAATTAGTTAGACTGTTTACAAAAATCAACACATTATAACATGGTCCTCCATTACGGATGGTTATTCGATATGTTCCAACACGTCGTCTCTTATTCTAAGCCTGATTCCAAACATCGCAACCCACGATGTCTCCTAATTGCTGAAGTGGGAGATTTTTATCTCGCATCTAAGTTCAGACGGAAGGTGCAAATTATCCTAACACGCAGTAAAGAACAAGCGTATGTTGTTTATTTGATATGACACAGAAGTCACACAAACCATTAGCATAATTTGAAGGCTCAGGGAACGTTCAAGTGAATTTATGCTTGGAAGAAAATTACTACAGCGAGTGCTTGACGTTTATAAATACAAGAACTGTCTTCAAGAGTGAGATGTGTAGCAGAGTTAATGATGAAGGAGTAGGGAGGGAGAAGTGTATTAACATTCAGCGATCTGGCCGATAGGATGGAGGTCACTGGAGGTACTGTAGATCGGGGAAGATTCCCCTGCTTCTTGTGATACGGTTACAAGGCTTTATATACTGAACATGTTCATCCACTACTCAACGGCGTATCTGTATATACAGTATGTCGGTTAGCCTTGCTCCAAGGCTGTACTGAATTCTAAGCCCATGGATGTATAGTAATTCTATCCTTCGAAAAGGCAAATCTAGATAAGCGGACAGTACAGACCCCAGTCTGTTATTTATTATTTTTTAGAATTTATCATTTAAACTATTAATTAGAGACTTGTGCAAGTCTATACATCAGTGTTCCTTTGCGCTTACCGACTTCATATCCTTCTGCTGTAAGAACACTAGACTAACGCTTAGTCTCCGAATATATATAATTTTAGTTGTAACAAAGAAACCCATTTAAATTGAAAAAGAGCCCCGGGGAGACCAGAGATTCAGAACCTGAGGAAATCTAGACTTGCTTCGGTTAGGAGCATTGCAGAGAGGGCTTGGCAGTGGAGAAAATAATGTGATTCAGGGGCTGTGAGGCAGACTATAGGAACACATATAACGCTTCTATACGTGCTCTCCTTCAGAGGTATTTGAACAAATGGAAAATGGTTTGTCCGTCCAGCAGTCCTTGATCGGTTTTATCTGGATTAACCTGCGTCATTAAGTATTACAAGAATTTAAAATGTATTCTTCAAACTTATGACAAGGTTACATATGATAGTATTCTGGGGTTGTTGTTTTTATATAATCGACTTTTATCAAAGTAATAAAGTAAGCATGTTGGCTTTTTCTTGAACTTGAATAATATTTCAAAATAACATTTGTTATCTATAGATAACTTCACAACTGTGAATTTGAATTTATGTGAAGTTTGTGATATTCTTCTTTCTGTAAATACAACTAAAGCAACAGGGCCAGATGGTATAATAAACGAACTACTTAAATTAACAGCGATTAGTCTAGCTCTTTCCTATTCTTACGAAGTTATTTTATACTTATCTCTCCAAAATAATTTTTTTCCGACAGTCTGGAAACAAGCATCAATAACGCCAATTCATTAAAAAGTTAATCTACATGAATGCTCAAACTATAGACCTGTAGCACTTACGAGTTGCGTAGTCAAACTGTTTGAAAGTGTATTTTCAAACATGTGTTCATTTATTTCAGGGAAAATGACCTAATTAATCTACAAACGGAATTTATGCCAGATGACTCAACATCATATCATCTCACATTCCTATATAATTTTATTGCTTGTGCATTAGAGGAAGGTAGAGATTTGTTTTTACGATGAAAGCAAATCCTTTGATAGGGTATGTCATGAAGGTATCATCCGTAAACGTAACGCTTATGGTATCCAAGGTGAGCTTCTGAAATGGTTCACAAGTTACTTAGAAAACAGAGTTCAAAAGGTAGTTATTAATGATTAGAGTTCAGAATCAAAATATGTACAAGCAGGGGTCCCTACCGCCGAATTCGCGTTATGAAAAGGTTTTGCTATTGCTGTGAGATAGGAAACCGGTTACGATGTCAACAACTAGATATGTAAACAAGCTAACTAATCACAAAAATATCAAAGCCCCTATACTAAGAAACGGGAGTACCATCATGTAGATCGCACATGAATATATACAAGATATACAACGCACTGTCCTCTAGTCAATTATGGGTTATACATATTCACATAATATCAGAGCCATCGCCTCGCGAAGAATGTGGTTGCTTCGTAATGGAGACCAACATGGCAAGCCAGCACCCACGCTGTATCAAATATAGAACTGTTATGCTTCCATACTAAGCTTCACTTCATATGTTACTGTGGCAAGCCACATCAGTAAGACATTTGACTGTGGCATAAACATGTCGGGCTTAGCAATATGTCAACACTACACAAGCTAGGAACAATCGTTGTCGGTCGGGAGGACTTCTGTCAATAACTGTCTGAGGTTTCCACCAAATCGCGTCTAAGCCGAGAAGACAACGAGACTTGGTAGATCAATCGGATTTGATTCGCCGGAGCTAGATTGTGGTTAGATTATTCATTTATGCGGAACATAACGTATGCATTCACAGTTTCTGCTGGACCTCAGGTCAATCATACTTTAAACACAACAGTAAACGTTGATATGGTTTAAGGTCGACGTTAACTTCAGGAACATCCATGTATCATGGGGCTGTGGGTGGGACAGTGGGAAAGATCTGGTTAGGAATGGGCTTTCCGTTGAGGTGTATTTCAAAAGAAGTATACTTCTCCAGTATGGTATTTATTAAAAGAACCGGCACCATGCAATCGTATTGAACATGCTGCCGGTTCGGGTGAAAGTAGTCTCATTAACGTAATATGCTGAATATATAGCGGAACATGTCGTGCTATCGAGTACCACAGGACAAAATATTGCATCACTCTCATTAGGTCATCAATTACCTATCTACTTTCCAAATTTCTAATCGAGTTGTCATTAAACGCGGAAGTGGAACCATTTGTAATTGGTGGCATGTCGTCACTAACGACGTAAGCCAGTACGTGACGCAATTTGACTTGCTGATCACCTAGGCAACAGCAGTATCATGCAAATAGGTTTTCTCGTTGTTGTATCATATTCAGTGATGAGTAGATTAACGATAAACGCCATCGGTCGTTCTCAGTAATGAGTTTGTTGGCATCATTGAGTTGGATCTTGTAGGAATAATTACGTCTTCATCATCTCATTGTTTCCAAGAGATAGCTTGCAAGGAGAAACGCAGATATTCCATGACAGACAAACGTCTTGGTGAATACCTGGCATGGATTACACTTGGCTTACAAAAACAAGGATTAAAATTTGCTCATAACGGGAAGGTTTACGCTTTTCTTACAGTCGCAAAGATTTCACTTGGCTTACAATAACAAGGATTAAACGTCGCTTACTATAGGAGGGTTTACACTTATTTCACAGCTGCAAAAAGTGTACTTGGCTTACAAAAAAAAGGATTAAACGTCGCTCACAATGGTAAGGTTTAAAGGTAGCTTACAGTGGCAAGGATTACACTTAGTGTACAATGATTAAACATAGCCTACAAAGGCAAGGCTTACATTTAGCTTACAGTGGCAAAGATTTCACTTGGCTTAAAATGCCAGTGATTCTTCTGGGCTTACAATGGCAAGGATTTCCCTTGGCTTACATATAACTATGCACATACCATTTCATTTCCTTTCTATAACTTGTATATGTGAACGAATGGTAATCGCAAATGATATGTGATGATAATTGTCAGTGCAAGAAACAATGCCCCCAATACAAATGTGATGTTGGTACTGTCAATAATGCCCCTATGTCATGACAATGGTCAGTGCACACAATAATGCCCCTATGTCATCACAACGGTCGTTATCCCCAATAACGCCCTCTGTGATCACAATGGTCGGTACACACAATAATGCCCTATGTAATAACAATGATTGTTATTCCCAATAATGCCCTCTGTACGCCCAACGTAGGATTATACCATCATTGAATCATCCACTGTTTTTCAGACAAGAAATGACTCCTGTAAACAACTACAACGATCCACTAAAACACGTCTACAAACAAAGCCAACATAGCCACATGTTGAAGTACTGTTGGTGTAATGAACGTTGAGGTCAATGCGCTGTGGACACCAGCTGTTACTCTACCGATTACATGTCAGCATCTTTTCATACTCATTTTCCCATGTATGACTGGGCTTCGACATTTTATAACCTTAGCTTTGATATACGATAGGAATGGATCGACATGAATTGTCCTAAATACAATCAATTCAGCGTTAAGGCATGCCACATTCATAGTGAAACTGAAGCTGTGACAACCTTACAATAATGACCAGAGCGTGACAGGTTGATCCAGCATTCACGTCAAGTAGCAATGAATATTTCATGCTAACAAAACAGAAAGTGAGATATCGGCTGTTGATTAGTTTAATGCTTATAACCGATTTAATATGACAGTATGATTTGCAAGGCACGGTTATGACTAGGTATGAAAGACCTGCAGAAAGGTACTATGTGGGAAGGGCATTGCCACATGCCTACTATAAGCCAATATGATGTGAAGGAGGTGGACGTTCCTAAGTTGGATAACTTGTGCCCAATCCATTTCATCCTTGAATAAAATATGTTTAAAACAAACAAAGGGATGATTACACGTACAGTATCCACAAGAGGTTGCTATATTGTGAAGGGGATTAATACACAGACAACTTTCACAAGGGGCTGTTTTGTTGAAAAGGGTATTCTTACATATACTACGCCATCAAGAGGTTTCTATGTTGCAAAGGCCATTAATTATTACATATATTACATGAACATCCACAAGAGGTTACTATGTTGTGAAGAACAGGACAACATACACAAGAGGTTACTGTGTATGTAACAGGACTACATACACAACAAGTGGTTACTATGTTGAGAAGAGCAGGACTACATACACAACAAGAGGTTACTATGTTGAGAAGAACAGGACTACATACACAACAAGAGGGACTAGAGGTTACTATGTTGAGAAGAACAGGACAACATACACAACAAGAGGTTACTATGTTGAGAAGAACAGGACCACAGAGTCAACGCCAACAAGAGGTTACTATGTTGTGAACAAGAGGACAATATTCACAACAAGAGGTTACTATGTTGTGAAGAACAGGACGATATTCACAACAAGAGGTTACTATGTTGTGAAGAACAGGACGATATTCACAGCAAGAGGTTACTATGTTGTGAAGAACAGGACGATATTCACAACAAGAGGTTACTATGTTGTGAAGAACAGGACGATATTCACAACAAGAGGTTACTATGTTGTGAAGAACAGGACGATATTCACAACAAGAGGTTACTATGTTGTGAAGAACGGGACTATATTCACAACAAGAGGTTACTATGTTGTGAAGAACAGGACGATATTCACAGCAAGAGGTTACTATGTTGTGAAGAACGGGACTATATTCACAACAAGAGGTTATGTTGTGAAGAACAGGACGATATTCACAACAAGAGGTTACTATAACGAAAAAGGATCAATATGCAATAAGCCCAATAACGACTAGACAATGGTAGCAGGGACCTTATACAAATTAGCCTTAAGAAACTATTGTTTTTCTTTTATGGCAAATAATTTGAAATTCATATAATCGGTTAACATGTAACAAGCGACGACACGAGCATTGCTATACACATCCAAACGCATAGTGTAGACAGAACATGTAAACGCATCACTCGGAATTAACTCAAGCAAAGCTTACACAAAAAATACATACTGAAGCTGTCTTGTTAGTGCAGGGAACTCCATGGGTGGAACGCAACACTAAACGAACAACCATTTGTCAACGCCGATGGTTTCAAATGATGAATGGTGACAGGCATTGCAGGGAAGGGTTCAGAACGAGGCTGTAATGGCCATAACGCCACCTAGCCTGAAGTCAAATACCAAAACATAATTGGTGACGAAAGGGAAGTACCATTAGGAAGAACACAGGTGTGTGTGATGATCATGACTAGAACAACGGATACTGCCAGAGACAAATTCTAGCAAAACAAACACGACCACGTGTCTTGGATTTCAACACGCTGTTGTATCTTCATAAGTAGAGGGCTTCAGATTGCTACCACGGATTGAGCAGGAAAGTATGGCAAGCTGCCAGGGACATATGCCTCAACTTATCGCAGATCAATGTAACCCTTCAGAGCTTCGCCCGCTTCTCGGCCATCGTGCCGAGTCAAGAGAAATAATCCTAATCAATATACTTGGAGTGGGTAAATTAATGGAAGGGTGATCGCTGGAATGATATATCTTTTCAAAGGGTATGACCACATACACAGGGCAGCGAGTTAAACAATAAACATGAGAGGCAACACGTGAACAAGCCTGAGCAAGAGGCGTAATGCTGTATGAACGGATCACAAATACTTCAATAGTAAAAATAGAATTCATTTTACAAAATCGGAAAATGAGTAACTCGAAAAGTGTTTGTGTTTCCAGGTTGCATCAGATTTGTGAAAGGTTTTAGGCGTGACTTCTTCAAAATTGTACGGTGACAAGCTTAACTTATTTATACTGTTTCTTGTCAAAATAGTTTACTAAACGCTAGAGTGTCTGACAGCGATACACACTCTATACTCACGTGTATGTTATCAGTATGTGAGGCATCAAGAACGCCAGAACACTCACAGTTCGAGGTTTGGGATTAAACACAAATAAATCCGCGCATTACGTGCATCTTTGAGAACAAGCTTGGCACGAAAATTCTCTTACCATAAATACGTTGTCATTTACGATACCACTGTGGAAAATATACCGACAGAATATATGACGTAGGTATTTGTACACTTAACACATGGTGGTGTATACATTAAAATGAGATAATGACTACTGCCAGAATGTCCTGAGACCGAGGAACTGGATGGGGAATACAAAATGTGTGTAGTTTACATGTTGATGACAAGTGTGTGCTTTGCAGATAATGAGTTCAGGACTCGTCGGGTTTGTTTATCACAGATTTATAGCAACAGAGCAGGAATATTACAATAGGGTATTTCTATCTTGATATGCCACATGTATTCACGTGCTTATGTCGTGTAACGACAAGGTCAGAAATAGTCCAGCTATGTTCGTTGGTTGGTTTGTTGTTTAAGGCCACACCCAGCAATATTCCAGCTATACGGCGGCGGTCTGTAAATAATAGAATCTGGACCTGACAATCCAGTGATCAACAGCATGAGCATCAATCTACGTAATTGGGATACGATGACATGTGTCAACCAAGTCAGCGAGCCTGACCACCCGATCCCTTTAGTCGCCTGTTACGACAAGCATGGGTTACTGAAGGCCAATTCTAACCCGGGTCTTCTCGGGTACCAGCTATGTAGATCACTGCATCCTGAAATCAATCGAGTCTGGACCAGACACACCCGTCTTTCATAATATCAACAATCTGCTATGCCGTTGGAGTACGGTGACGTGCAATAAGTCAAGTCATACCCCGATCCACCCACCTCTAAACTACCGATCTATTTTGTAAACATTTTACAAGCACAGGCTACTGCATGAAGCAGCGTTCGGCATTAACGTCGGAATTTGGGCCCCAAGCCGACTCAAAACCTCTCGGACCCACAGCTTTTGTTTTCTACAGGTCTTTATGGCCGACAGCTTTTTCATCCCCAATCACAAAGAGTATTATTTCCACATTTAGATATAGGGTATACTCATTCTGATCAGGACCAGCAACTTTTTATGGTTCTGGGTGCTTAGGGCCTGCATCTTTTCAGGGTTAAGGGAAAACACTGACGACCAATCTAACCCAGATTCAAACAGGTTAATGCGATACAAATTGAGCATTGGCATATTTAAATTAAATTCTATATATTGCAAACACCAACGCCATGGAGCATGACATCTCCACTTTTGAGAATCAAGATTCATTTTGGCGTTAAAGTGAGTGAGTATGGTTTTACGCCGCTTTTGACAATATTCCATCAATATCACGGCGGGGGAGATGAGAAATGAGCTTCACACGTTGTACCAATGTGGGGAATCAAACCCAGGTCTTCGGCGTGACGAACGAACGAGTTAACCACTAGACTACCCCACCGCCCTTTTGGCGTTAAAGGCAGACCAGTGGTGGCAATTATATGAACCGATCACCGATTCTCAAAAGTGGAGATGTCATGCTCCATGTCGTTGGTATCGTAACAAATGGTATGCCTGTCACTTACTTACTACAAACAACAAAATGCACGCAGGTTGGTGAGGGTCTGAATATAGACGAGATGCCAAATCTGTATTACCTCAATTGTAATACAAAATGATCAGGTCAGTAATATATCAAAGCTGAATAGACATGAATTAAGATTTGTGGTGTTCTGAACGAAACGACTACTGGATGCCAGCCTCTGAACCCCTTCTGAGAGGCATGAAATTCAACCATACCTATTTCCCAAACATTATTCCAGAAATAACGCCCCAAAACAACAGACCAGGCAATAACACCCCATAGCCTCTTTTCTCATTAAGAGGCCGTTGAAGTCGGCTTTGAAGTCGACTATAAACAAAAGCTGGAAGCTCTAGTGGCTAACGCTGTAAGGACTTACATCTATCGGGGGAACATACATATGAACCAGAGAGAAGCTTGAGCGGTGTAATTATTGCCTACGTCATTCCAGAACATTAAGTCAAAATATGTGATCTTGCACAGCAACAACCACAGTAAGAAATCTTCTACCTCGGTCAACGATACCAGTTCGACACCTATTTTCGTGCTCGCGCTCTCAGGACCCGGGATGTGTAATAAACGCCCATGTGTATCAACATGATTCAAAACACCATTGAAAAATGTACGTTCTAAGAAATAGAACTCTTTAAGTAATTAACGCATGGTGATGTAGTGACTTTGTTAACATACCAGCATAAACCTGTCTCCATCATAGACGGCAAATGGCCGATTCATATCGTCTGCGCATGAAATTCTCAACCTCGGATGCTTGTGATTCAAACCTTCGTTTGCTGACGATGAGTTACTCGAGATAAAATACTGTAATTCTGTTTTGATCCTTCCTTAAGTTGATTACACTGAATACCATCCTAAGACAGTGTATGGTGTTAATTTCGCCATGAGATTTATAGCATTACTTGTACATTCACCTTATGCAGCGACCGACACCTGTTCGAATCAATTCCATCAACATCTAATTAATTTTCTCATGAATGACAATTCCACTGTGGATAAAACCTGTAATATATCATTAATAATTTATCTTTGTAATAACTCTACACAAACATTTTGGATGGTTATGTTATTGGATCGTTGCCAAAATAAAACAATATCTGACTAAGGGCCAAGTGTGTCTCACCAGGTAATGTTGCCGACTTGGCAAGATTTCATGCGCAACCAATTATAACTGATTGCATATCCGGCCAAAAGCTTATTCAAAAGCATCTAATATGAGATCTTATATCGTTTTGAGACCAATGTCCCTATACAATGATCATAGACACGTACCTACATTGTCTTTAACTGTCATTTTGCCTTTTAGACCCAATAAAATGTATATAATACCATATTGTTCTAAATTATGGCGTACTACACGGTGCGTATTATTCATGAAATGCAAAAGCATTCACAGCATAAAAGTTTAAATACTATGTTATACGTTACTCGTATATTCATATTATATTTTATTCATTTACATTGGATACAGCCGACTAAATTATATGTACTTCCCGTATATATTAACTATATGAATTAAAGTACATGTGTCACCAAAGTCTTTATTGGCGATCAATAAAAGCTTATAATGTCTATTAAAATGTTGCGTAAATATAACCATTTCTCATAATTGAAAACAATCACAGAAAAGGTAGGAAAGAAGTGCTTATACAGGCTTACGTTGATTGCTATAGGCGTAACCGACAATGACCTGAGAAGACAGGAATTCAGATTAAATTGGAACAATTCTATTTTTATACATCCCTCTCGACACATCTGGAACACTGGTCTGTCTAAATCTATCGTTATTATAAAAGCGAATCTTGAGTGGAATGTTTACGCGAGGAATTTATACAGCCGCAGGCTTAAAACGTGTCAATCCAAAATAATCAAATGCTTTCTTCCAGGAATATTGCAAGAGTTTCCTACCAGGAATGGGGGCTTCCGTGTTTGGTTTGGGGATCTTATGACTCAGGGTGTTCACGGAACATATCAATTTAAAATGTCTTTACATCTTTGGAAGCTCTCCCTCGAGGGAGTTGGTCCCCGTAGAACTGCTTTCAACTTGTATCGTAAATATTTCACCAGTGGTTCCAAGCCGTAAACAACGGTACAGTTAGCTGATTAACACTTGCAGGACAGGGATTCCATACAAAGAAACATTTCTAAACTTAGCCATCTGATATATTCTCTAATTATCTATACAGCAACCTTCGGAAGCCCCCCTGGCGTGTTACATGAAATTCTGATTGGGTAAGTGACAAGAGTTTTAACGCCATGGGTGGTGATATAACCGATATTACACGCCGGGTTGCTGACTGTATTCGAGTCAGTAAGTGGTACGAGGGTTGAGAGGAAACGGTAATAACCGCTGTTCAGGTGTGATGGAACCTTAAATTAGCTTCCATATGATCAATGTGTTGTTGCTGTGGTTTAACGCTGCATATGACGACGATCTGTAAATAATCGAATCTGGACCAGACAATCCAGTGATTGGCACCGTGAGCATAGATCTGCGCAATTGGGACACGATGACATGAATCCACCAAGTCAGCGAGCCAGACTACCTGATCCTTTTAGTCGCCCTGGTTGCCGAAGACCAATTCTAAGCCGGATTCTCACGGGTCCATATGATCAAGGCGATCTTAGTCTGTTGTACCGCCAGTGTTATGGAAATCTACACTGTCAAGGTAAGAGAACAACCAGTTTCG